CATGGGCTTGGGAGGAGCTCCTGGCTCCTTTCTTTTATCAGTTCCATCTATGTGAAGATAAGTCAAAGGTCCTGCTTGATCATGCCTGGCTTCACTTGGAAGTATGAATGAGATGTTTCCTCTGAGTTGACCCTCCTCTTTGTAGACTGGACACTGGTTCAACTCCATCTCGTGGGGTCTCCATGTTCTCCCTTAACAAGAGGACAGGTGACTTACCACAGCTACAGGATATTTTGAGAGATGTTCCATAGTCCCCTGGAACTTCGTCTACCTTGGAGGGCAAGGGGCAAAAACTGTCTTTTAAGTCCCTCTGACCACATTTGTATAGGCCTCAAACTATGGCTGTTAAATATCCAGTAAGGTTAGTTCCACCAGTCTGGTACTTTTAATTATCGTGTGCTGTGTAGATAGGGTTGGGTAAAAAAAAAAACAAACTCAGACAAACCTTGGCTAGATATATATTTTGTTCCTTAAACTAGTTGACTAAATTATGACCATAGAAACCTACGCAGACCTTCATCACTTGCTTAGGCAGTCTCATTTTTTCTGTTTTGGAAAATATCTCCATTCCCATATCCTTTCAACATCTTTTACATTCTCATAATAGCATTAACAAATAAATTTTCTATCTGTTGTGAGACTTCTTTTCCTGGGGATGCTAAGCAATGCTTATTCCCTTTTAAGTTTCTAGTGTCAAGCCAATGTTTGATTAAAGTTTTACTGGGGAACCAATGAATTTATTGAGCTCACTTACCAAGATAACTGAGGGGTTTCTGAGGTGTGTGTATGACCTGAAGATATGTACACTGGAAAGCCTTTACCCAGCATGGGACATGTCTTTTCTTCCTAGCATTCTCCAGATTGTATACTTTAGCCCTCCCCAAATCCAGGAGGCCATGTGTGATTAGAGCCAAATTACATACAGTTGGCTGAGAAGAGTAGCTGGATAATCCAGTGAGGGTCCAATGACCCTGCTTGGCCCTCCTTTAGTGAATGAGCACAACCGTCAGCAAGCCCAATTGTGACAATGTTTAGCGATTAGGCTCAATGGAAATTGTGATGATGGTAGTTATTTCATGCAGAAGAGACTGCTGTATAGCATCATCTTATTTAATTTAATTAATTAATTAATTAATTAATTTGGTCATTCTTTTTGAAAAGACAGGGTCTCCCTGTAGCTCCAGCTGCCTGGGACTGGCTCTGTAGAACAGGCTGGCTTCAAACTCACAGAGGATCTGCCTGCCTCTTCCTCTCCAGTGCTGGGATTAAAGGCATGCGCCACCACACCTGGCTGTACAGCATCATCTTATTAAAAGGACCTGGAATGTAAGAGGATTTGGTGCTAGGACCCACATATGAGGGAGAACATACATCATTTGTTTTTCTGTGTTACTTCACTTAGTGTAACAGTTTAGATCCATCCATTTACCTGCAATTTTTTTCTTTTCTTTTTTTTTTTTGCTATAGCCAATAAATTTTTATTGCAAAGAGAATGGTTTTCTGGCTCCGATTCTCCACACTTGCTGAAAAGAACTTTCAGTTTATCAACCACAGAAATGTGCTTTTTTCGGCCTCTCAGCCAGCACTTCCAAGGTTTCATACACCATTTTCGAGAAGTAAAACACTATTATTCAAGGGACTTTTGCCCGTAATTTCCCTAACCAATGGCCAGAGTATCATGAAGCCACTACCTTAACCTGAGTCAGGTCCTTTAAGGGTGATGAAGAGATAGAGCTGGGGTACTGCCGAATCTGCGTGGATCTCTGTTCATATAGAGGGCCCTGAGCATTATTTTGGGAGATATAGGTTGTCAACTGAATTGGGCCACTCTGAAGATTCACTGGCTGTGCTGGTATACAAGCTACTAGGAGCCTGGCTTGAAGAGGCGCTAGTGGTAGGGGTAGACTCATAATCAGAAAGGACAGGCTCTGACCCAAACTGCAATGCCCCAAACTACAGATTTAACCCTGAGATATCTGCTGAGCCAGGCATCACCACAGCCAGAGCAGGAATCTTAGAAGTCAACGAGGTTTTTTTCTTCTGCTGTTTCAGTTTCTGCTGAGCCAGCTGAGGGCTGGACGACTGGTTGTCTGAAGACCCCGGCGACATCTGTGGAGCCATGGTGGACTTGCTTGGCAGAGGAGAAGAGGGGGTGGGAGGTGCAGCTGTGGAGGTAGTCACTGGGGGTGGCTTCTCCTGAAGAAACACCTCCATCATGGTTGGAGATGGGGTGAAAGCCTGATGCTTTGTAAAGGGGTTATGCACTGTTGAGTCATCTGCATTCTTCAGATCTTACTGAACCAGTAATGGTGAGTGTGTCATTGAACCCATGTCCCAAGACGTGGTGGTGGTGCTTCCAGATTGAGAATGCTGAGCAGCCAACTGAGCCAGGGCCTGAGCAGTCATGAATTGCTCAAAGAACTGGGAGCCTGTGAGACTTCCACTTTTAGCTTCCCCAACATCACCAAATCCTCTCCCCAACATGCTCATCATACTATGATGAGAAAATGTATTCCCTGAAGCAGGCTGTGACATGACATTTTGCTTCGAGTTATTAAACACCAGAGGCTGGGCCAGAGAAGGAGCCTCAGATGGATCCAGGTTAGATGAATCATTCTCCACTGAAGATGGTATCTTCCCCAACAGAACAGCTAAGTCAGTTCTCTGACCAGCAGTGATTGTCACATTCTCCACAGGCAGAGGCAATGAAGACCCATTAGAGGCAGTGAAGATCTTGGTCTCAGAGAGATCTTCATTCCAATCTTCAGTTCTCCACTCTTCTGTTGCAGTCCTCCATGCACCAGGAGCAATCTCAAATTTTCAGGGATAATTTGATCCCTCAGCCCCAATGAAATCAATCGTTCCATCATGTAGTTCAAAGTGGCCAGTGTTGTTCCAGGTATTGCCACTATTGCCATAGCTATCATCAGTACTGACTGGTTCTGCATAATCAGCTGGGTTAAAGGTTCCCATTCCTTGAGCAGAAAACCTTCCTCCCAGTCTACCAGAGCCACTTCTGCCTCGGCCATGGCCTCTTCTGCCTCTTTCTGTGCCTCTTCCATAAGGACCTCCACTCTTAGTGCCATGCAATCCATTTTCGGGGCTCCCAAACTCTCGCCCACAGCTGGCACCTCTCACCTGACTTGGTGGTCCACCACGTCACCGACTATAGTCTCTGTCCTGGTCTCGATTTTCTTTTCCTTCTTCATTAGATTCTATCTGTTCACCATCCTTCTGTCCTAAGACTCCTTTCTTCTTCCCAACCATCTCCCAGGAATGCGTGTCTGGGTTTCCTTTCAGCAGAACATTGAGGGCTCTGTTGACATCTCCATGGCAGTCATGGAAAGCAATCACACATTCATCTGGTTTTGGCCTGTGATATCAATCGTTTCACCTTCTCCTCTAAGTCAGCATCATTATGGTCTGAAATCATCTGTGCGACTTGAATTTGCTCTGCAGTGGCCTGTGGCCACTGCTTGTGCTGTGTCTGATTTTGGTTCTGAGGTTGTTCCCAGTTTCCCTGAGCTTGGTTAGTGCCTGCCAATGTCATCATTTACAGTATATACAAAACACAGTGTTTACAAGGAAGGATAATCAGTCTTCTCCACTTACCTGAAAATTTCATTATTTATCTTTTTTTACTGCTGAATAGAACTCCATTGTGTAAATATACCACATTTTTGTTAACCACTTGTCACTTGAGGGGGACTTAGGTTGCTTCCATCTCTTAGCTATTGTGAAAAGAGAAGAAACAAACATGGTTGTACAAGTGTCTCTACAATAGGATGAATCCTTTGGGTATATGTCAAGGAGTGGTATAACCAGGTCATGTACTAGGTTCATTTATAGTTTTTAAAGATTCTCCACACTCTCCTTCCCTCTGCCTGCAAGACCCAGAGGCCTCTCTCCCACCCACAGGCTTCTCTCTCCAGGATAAGTCGATTGGGCCCTCCGTGCCTTGGCTCCCCCAGCCTCACTCACCCTCCCACATCTCCCCCACCAGTCTCTCCTCCTAGCCTGGGTCCTGTCCCATTCCTTGTCTTGGTACCCCAGACACCTGGGGAACCACTACTGCTTCCTGACTCTTTGCATCCAGAGCAACTCAGTTCCTTCTCTGGTCCCCAGGAGCAATGCTTCTGGGCCTGGCCCTGCCCTCACCTCCCTCTGCTTCCTTGGGCCTGCAGGACCCTCAGGCCTCTCTGAACAGCAGGCTTCTCTCTCCAGGGTAAGTCGATTGGGCCCTCCATGCCTTGACTCCCCCAGCCTCACTCACCCTTCCATCTCCCCCACTGGTCTCTCCTCCTAGCCTGAGTCCTATCCCATTCCTTGTCTTGGTGCCCCAGACACCTGGGTAACCACCACTGCTGCCTGATCCTTTGCATCCAGACCAACTCAGTTCCTTCTCTGGTCCACAGGGGTGCTCTGGGCCTGGCCCCGCCATCACCTCCCTCTGCCTCCCTGGGTCTGCACAACACACCAGCCTTTCCTGGATGCCAGGGCTGACCTTTCCTCTTCCTGGTCCTTTGCATTCAGACCAACCAAGCTCCTCAATGCAGTCCCCAGGGGCCCTCAGGGCCGCCTCCCACCCCCATCTTCCTTTGCATCTCTGGGTGGCACGGCCACAGCTACCCTAGACCAGCATCTTTCCTAGGCCCAGCTCCCAGGCCAGTCCAACCGCCAAATTCCTGAGGCCAAAAATTTATCCTGGAGGGATCCAGACCTTAGGAGAAAGCCTGAGAGCATCTGATCCTCATCTGACTTGGGCCTCTGTGGGAACTCCTGAAGACAAAAGCAATCTGGCCACTCCAATATAAAATCAAAAGAGAGAACCGGAAGCTTAGACGAACCAGCCTTTCATGCCCAAAAAGTAAACCACAAAGACACATAAAGTTCAAAAAAAGAAGCAGACCTAAACTTGGAGGCTTGAGTCTCACACAAGAAACAGAAACTATAAAAGAAATTCATATGTCAAAATCACAGAGAAAAAATAATAACATGAAAAACCAAAATAACATAACCCCACCAAATACCAGTAATCCTCTAGAGGAGCACAGTGAGAACCCCGTAGAGACAATGCAGGACATGGAACTCAAAAGAACAATGATGAATATGATACAAGAATTCAGTGAATTTAAAGAACACACAAACAAGGTAATCATAGAGATGAAGGAAGATAGGGATAAACTTCTGAATGAATTCAGAAAAGAGCTAGAAATATTGAAGAATACTCAGGCTGAAATAAAGAACAAAGTGAAACACTCCATAAGCCAATTAGAAACGACAGGAGAAAGCCTCACAAATAGGATGAACGAAATGGAAAACAGAGTATCAAGACTGGAAGATAAAGTGGAGGAGGATAAAGTTGAAGAATTGGACCACTCAAGCAAAGATTATGGAAAAATTTTTTTAAAAACACAGGAATGGAACATGCAGGAATTGAGTGGTACCATAAAAAGACCAAACTTGCGAATCATAGGCATAAAAGAAGGAGAAGAATCCCAAGACAATGGCATGGACCAGATCTTCAACAGAATTGTGGAAGAAAATTTCCCAAACTTAAAGAAAGACATGCCCATACAAATACAAGAAGCATACAGACCACCAAACAGACAGGACCAGAACAGAAACTCTCCACGGCACATCGTAGTAAAAACACTACAGGCACAAATCAAAGAGAAAATTCTGAAAGCTGCAAAAGAGAAACAACAAGTCACATATAAAGGAAAACCCATTAGGACTATAGCTGACTTTTCAGTGCAAAGTATGAAAGCCAGAAGAACCTGGACCAAAGTATTCCCAGTTTTAAATGACGATAGATGCCAACCCAGACTACTATTCCCAGGCAAAATGTCTATTATAGTCGAAGGGGAAGGAAAAATCTTCCATGACATAAATAGGCTGAAGGAATTCATGTCCACAAAACCAGCCCTTCAGAGAGTTCTGGGAGCAATACAAAGAACTGAAGAAAGGAATGACTATACCCAAGGGGTTGCAGAAAGAACTCCAAGGAGAGTATAATAGTGTAAAAGTACAACTATATCATGAATGTAAATAGAAATAAAAATGACAGTATTCAATACTCATCTTTCATTAATAACTTTAAATATTAACGGACTGTACTCCCCAGTCAAAAGACACAGACTAGGTGATTGGGTTAAGAAACAAAACCCATCATTTTGTTGTCTGCAAGAAACCCATCTCACTTTCAAGGACAGACACTATCTTAAAGTGAAAGGAGGGAAAAAAATATACCAAGCAAATGGTACTAAGAAGCAGGTGTAGCAATTCTAATATCTGACAAACTAGATATTAAACTAAAACAAATCAGAAGAGATAAAGAGGGCCACTTCATTCTGATCAAAGAAACAACAAATCAAGAAGGCATTACAATCATAAACATACAATTCATCCAATTCACCAAACTCTGGTGCACCCAACTTCATAAAAACAATACTACAGGACTTTAAGACCCAGATTAATCCCAACTCATTAATAGTAGGGGACTTCAGAGGTCAACAGGGCAGAGAGTTAACAGAGAGACATCTGAATTAATACCAACCATATATCAAATGGACTTAACAGATATCTACCGAGTATTCCA